AAAAAAATAACTTTCTAAGTTGTGTTTTCAATTTTTATTTTTTTGTGATTGTTCATTACAATGAAAAGAGTGTATATTTCAAAATTTGGATCAAACAAATAGCTATAAGATAATTTTTTAAGGTTATTGCATCGTATTACTATACAACAGTTGCATGAAATCATTGCCCTACAAAATATAAAGCATCTCATCTCACTTTTTTACCCTAGTTTCTTCCCTCCTCTAACATCTTCTATTTGAAAATGCAACACATTTTTCCCTTCAATCACATTCTCTCTCTAAAAATGTCGGAAGAGAAAAGGTGGGGTTGGCATTGAGAGAGAATGTGCGTGGACACAAAAATGAGATTGGTTTGTTGAGACAGAATATGGGAGGAGGCAAGAATGAGATTCGGTTTCTAGAAAGAGAATGTGATTCGGTTTCTCAAAAGGAATGCCATTGGAGGCAAAAAAGATATTAAATTTCTAGAGAGTATGAGAGGAGACAAAATTTTGGTTGGGTTTCTAGAGAGACAATGCGATAGTAGAGAATAATTTATTGGGTGTTTAGAGAAAATGTGAGAAGATGGAATAATAAGTTGGGTTTTTAGAGAGAGAATGTGAGAGATAGATAAAAAATTCTTGAGAAAAATTTGTGCAAGATGAGAAAAATGAGATTAAAAATTTATTTTTAAAAAGAAAATGATTTGATAGGGCTATGACCTTATGAAAATAACCAAAGCCTTACTTCATAACTCATCGACAATTGCAATTCAAGCATTGCAAAACTTTTAAATCAATCATGTTGGCTTGAATATTACGGTTGTGAAAACAAATTAGGATTTCAAAATCTAAAAAAAAATGTGCACATTATAATAAATTATCCATACCGTCTATTTCACCCTAAAAACAAACGTTCAAAGACCGAAAGATATGTAATATTTTTTGAGCTTCAAAATTTATTGCCCGTATTGAAAATTGATTTTACAGTTATTATAGAGATTTCCGTTGCCAAATGTGCTTTCTGGACAAGGATATGAGGTGATTTCATTGAGCCTAGGTTTTATAGAAACTTCATCCTTTTTAAATGGGGCAAAATAATCCATTTGACCCTCTATAAAAAAAAAAGTATAGCCAAAGTTAAAGATAACTTTCCAACGAGTCCAAAATCTTAAAAATTAGGGGTAGCAACGGCTCGGGTCGGGTCGGGTCTATCTGGAACCGGTACCCGGACCCGAATAGTATTCAGGTAAAAAATTTGGACACATACCAAGACCCGTCGGGTCCCTTGCCACCTTATGACTATAAGCTTTTTTTTTTTTCCCTATCTTTTACCATCGTGTATCTTATGACTATGAGTTTCTCTTTTTTTGCGTATAATAATGTAAAGGTTGCCAATATTGTGACAACATGATCACTTAGCGCGACCCTAAAAACATATGATTGCCATCATATGCCCTATGACTATGGGTACAGGTCGGGTTTGGCTGGACTCAGAATTGAACCCGAATAATATTCGGGTCCAAAATTTAAACCCATACCCGGACCAGAAGTTGGGCATACCTATTGGGTCTCGGGTCTAGTAGGGTCCATTGCTACCCAATAAAAATAGACTCCCGTAATGTTTTTCTCGTAAAAAGACTTGGTAATGTTTTTCTCGTAAAAAGACTTGGTTTCTATACGTCCAAACCTGCATATGTAGAAATACGAGTCTCTTTATAAATCTATTTTTGAGATGAATTTTAAGGCTTAATTTTTAAAGACAATTAATCTCCAACATGGAGACCATGAATGAAAAAATAAATAAAATTTAGAAACCACAAATAATAATTAGAAAACGTTTGCACCATTAATTTCCATCGTGTTTGAATGGAACACGTACTTGGCCTTACACTTTGTGGACGGCATATGTAAAAATGCGGTCCAACCCCGCATGAAACAATTTTCCCTCGTAAAAAGCCCTAAAATCTATCACCCATCCATAGCCCAGCTTACACTTCAATAGCCTCCCCTCTTCTTGTTTCCTAGGGTTTGGCTTTTATATCATCATCACCAGCTCCCTCTTTCTCCCTCAAAACCCGTGATTTTGCCGAGGGATTCTTAGTCCGTTTCCGGAGTAGGCCATGGGGGATTTCTGGAGGTTTGGAGACGGACGCCAGCAGGCCATGATGGCTCCGGCTATGCCCACAAAGCGTTCTCGCACTGAATTTGGTTTGTCTACTTCTTCTTCTCTCAATATTTCATTTATATCTTCTTAGATCTATTTATGTCTTCTTAGATCAGGATTGTTTAGGGTTATGTGGGTGTTAATATGTTCTTTGCTTTAGTTAACCGATTCTCAAAAAAAAAAAAAACAAGTTATCTGCTTTCTTCTTAAATGAAATCAATTTCATGTAGAAATGGATAAATTTTTTCATTTCCTGATGATATTTTTCGTTGTATTTTGAATATTTTAGAGCTGCACTTATTCTTATGATTGTTTGAACCGGATCACCCCTAGGATCACGTGATGATTCTTTGTCTTGCAAATTATCGCTTTGCTCCCCATTTAGGAAATGGTATTTATTTATTTTTTGTCAATCAATCAAAGTTAATTATCATACAGTCAGTAATACTCGTGCTGTCATTTATATTTATTTTTAAATTAAATCATGTTTTTGGGCTGGGGCTTCTGTTTTTGGGTATTGTCACTGTAGCTCCATTTTTTTGCAGTTTGAGTTGACCGGTGGATTCTATGGGTGTTGGTTTTGTTTTTGGATTTTGGATGATAGGCTGGGTTGTGAAGGGGATTAATACCTAAGAAGGATTCGATGGATGTGAAAGTGTGGGTTGTGTAGGGATTAATATTTAAGAGGACTTGATGGATGTGAAAGTGCGTTGGCTGGTGTTTTTTATGGTAACATTAAAATGTTTCGTTGCTAATTTTTGTCAAATGGAATAAGATTAGAGGAGTGTTCATGGGGGGGTATGATGAAGTATTAATTTGGAGCCCTTCTTCTTGGGTTTGTGTGTTAGAGAGAATGTCATGGAAGTTTGGCATGTAAGCTTCTTATTTTCATCGAAAAGAAAATGGAATCTTAATTTTTCTAGATGACGCTTGCGGGGTAATGGGATTGGTGAAGGTTCATAGAACCAAAGACTGGGCTTTTGCGGTTCAATGAGTTTCTATTGCTCTGGTGTTTTAGAAGTACTTGCTTTTTTTGGGTGTCTCCGTCGTTTCTGGTCTGCTGTCTATACTTTTTGGGTGCCTTCATTGTGTCCAGTCTCCTGTATATCCTTTTTTGGGTGCCTTTGTTGTTTCTGGTCTCCTGTCTAGTGTCATTGGGTGGTTTTGTTGATTCCTGGTCCTTTGTGGATCCTTGAGGTTGCCATTAATTTGCAGCTGCTGTTCCATTATGCACATAGATTTAATGTATTTGATTGGATTATTGAGACTACCACTAGTTTGTGCTAATCCCTTTCAATGCCAAAAAGTACATTGCAAAGAAATGATTTTTGGAATCTCACTAGTGCATTCCACTATTAGAAATTGAAAATTTGGAAGTAATGTAAAATATTTTAGATCAGAAAACTCCAAGCTGGTGAGACTGTAAGTTTGCTTAAAATTTAAATATTTGAAATTTGATGGAGGTCAATGCAAGCAATATCCGTTATAGTTTTGTTATTGCAATTTAGTTACAAAGAATTTGTAATCAGAACCAGTCCATTTAAAATAAGAATATTTGGTTTTGTTCTGAGATTGCCTTGTCTTGAGACGGATTACACAAATACTCCACTCTTAGGAAAAGGAAAAAAAAGTGTCGGTGTTATATTTTCCTTTTTCTTTGGTCATAATAAAGTGCTTTGATTATGAAAAGAAAAAAGAAAAAAGAAAAAAGAAAAAAAAAAAAATGGTTTGATAGCTGGCATGGTTAAGCTTCAAAGCTTAGTTGAGATCAAAATTTTTCCTTCCTTGAAAAAGTTATATAATCTCTCAAGTTGAGTTGCAATTAGAAAAAAAAACATGGGTGGGTCATTGTGCTATTTACCTCTTGAAATTCGCTGGAACAGAAATTTGTTATTCTAAATTCTTGCCTAGTTGTTGGGCTTGGATTGACTTGTAGAATACATGTTCAGTGAGAACTCATTTGGTGCTGAATCTGTATATACTTCATTCTCTTTGGGTGAATGTCTCTTGACCACAATTTGTAGCTGGAAGCCTGCTTATTTACATAATTATACCATTATTTTGTTCACTTTTTCATGTCATGGTCATCATCCAAAAAGACCATCTATTTTTGGGGATTATAAACTTCTGGTTGTTTCTTGCTATTTCTGAGAGTCCGTTTGTTTTTGTTTTTTTAAATATTTTTACATCCAGTTCACCTTCTTTAACCATGATTCATGCAATAAGTATAAACCTTTGCGAAGAAAACTATTTATGGCCATTTGTCAGTAAAATTGATCGTTTTGAATTATATTTTCCATTCTGGGCACAAGAAAAGAATTATTAGACTTAAGATTCATGTAGTTCCCTTCTTAATGTGATTTAGAACCCTTGTACAGTGTATTCCTCCATCATAATTCGATCCATAGCCATTAAACTGATGATGAATCATTGAAGCTATGTCTGATGTGTCTTAGGCAGGTTGCTTTTTATTGAAAATTAGAATGAACTAAATTGTCAAGGACTCTAAAGGTAATCTTTCTCAAAAGAAGTTGTCAAGGTGCCTATTTTTTGGTCGGTCTAATCTACTATGTCTCTATGGTACTTTATTTGTTAATGGGCTCTAGAGGAACAACTTACATGGTCACCTTGCATTTATTTAGGATTATCATTAATCGATGAGATTCCCGTGAACTGTGTATAAGATTTTCTCTTCTTGCAAAAGAAGAGCAAATCGTTACTTTTCTCAAAAATAATGATAAGCAAAAATAGTTTCAAGTAACCATAGAAGCAAAAAGGGATGTACTCTGCTTACAAATACCATTGAGCAGCTCTACACTTTTCAAGAAATGCTTGCATGTGTAGGAGAACATTAAGCGTTTATGGCATGCATTTCCATCATCACGGATGACTCCTACATGGCTGCATGTATGCAATTGAGACACTATTTTGGAAGTGGGAGTTCCCTAGACATCGTTTATCATGTTTGTTGTCCTAGTGCTATTATGGAAGATTTTGCAGGTTTGGGACCGTGAGGTTGGCTGTACCCATGCAAGCACACATGTGCATGTGCACTCTCACATTCGTGCAATTTGTTTGTGTATATCATCCACTAGGGCTATTGGTAGTTCATAAAAAGTAGATCTACTGGAATCCTTTGTTGAGATCTATAGGCTGGGTATTGCATCCAATATGGGTTCTACCTGTAACTCTCTAATTAGTAATGTGTTAGCAGCTTCTTTGGGATTTTAAATGTTTAGTTCTCTATTTGGGGGAATAGAGGAGCCCAAGACAGGCACTGATCGTGAAATTATGAGAAAAGTTTATTGTTTTCTTGGTCTACACAATACTTTACTCATCTACAAGTAACAATGCTTCATTAAATCACTACTTGACCTTGTAGATGCCATGCCTACGGTTACCAGACATGATCTAGGAATGCCCGGTGGCCTTGAGATGTCTGGTTATATGCAGCGTGAAGAAGATAGGGGAACCCGTGTGATTAGGGACACTGAATCTCTTGGAGCATCATATGATCGCTACCTTCGTAGTGGGGTATTTTCCCTCATTTTCTGCAATTTACCATTTTGATGATAGCATACGATAATCCAATGGACCATCGGATGACATAAGGGATTGGTGTTATTGCCATCCTATGAAATGATTGATGGTGATGGAAAGAGTGGGATCCAGCAGAACAGAATATGATGCACGATGATGCTGAGAGATTGGGATTCATCTTGGGGATTATTTTCTGTTCTGGTGGGTCTGATCCTCTCTCCATTATTACCCATTATTTCATAGGATGATGATGACCCTATGGGCTGTGATTTTCCATACTGCATTGGACTATAGTAATATTTTCCTCTTGTATGTTTTATTTTTTTCAGTAAAAACCATACTCTTATTTTTGTCTTGTGACATGACTAACATATTTTCTTTAATTTTTACTTATGATGTGACTAATAAACTGGTTTTTTCAGCAAATTACCTCCTTTGGTGCTGGAGAACCTGGTAATCTTGGTGGAGGGGGCATGACTAGGCCTGTGACTGGGGGAATGCCTGGCCTTCCTGTTGAAGATCCTGTTATGATGGGTGTTCCAAACATGGATCCCAGTTTGGGAGCTAAAGGGCGAAGCATGCCATTTGGTGGTGGAAGGCCTGAAATGATGCTTCCTCCTGATGCTTCGAACACGCTTTTTGTTGAGGGCCTTCCATCAAACTGTACTCGTAGGGAAGTTGCACGTATCCTTACACATCATTATTGATCTTATGCAGCTTTTATTTTTGTTTTTGTTGAGCTCAGAATCACTTCCCTAAAATTTTTGTTTTAAACATATTGTCAATGTTTCTGGGTTTTTTTTTCATTTTCTCTAAAATTTTTCATAGATCTAGCTTTCTGAAAGTTGCTTGACATTTTATTGGAAAACCAAAAAGTTGGAAGTGTTCCAAAGAAAAATCATTCTAGGCTTGTGCTAGAATTTCCTTCACTTGGGTCTCAGATATCTTCCGCCCTTTTGTTGGTTTCAAAGAAGTAAGACTTGTGAACAAAGAGTCCAGACAAGTAAGTGTTTGTTTTCAGTCGAATGTAATTCGAGACATTAATTTATTCCATTGTGCTCACTTTAATTTATTCCATCGTGCTGAGCATTGTTTTTCTTAAATCTCCTGCAGCCTGGAGGAGATCCATTGGTCCTTTGCTTTGTTGATTTTACAAGCCCAGCTTATGCTGCAACTGCCTTGGATGCTTTACAAGGTCAGTATACTTCTTCATTTATCAGAAGGGAGAAAAATATGGGTGTACTTATTGTTCTCCTAAGAGAGGATTTGATATCATTGCATGCATGTTCATATATACATGCTTACAGCTACACGGTTGATCTATATGTACCATAGAAATTCGAGTTTGCTAATCTTGTCAAGCTGGTCTATTTTTATTGAGGCTATTATTAGATCCCCTCTTTGTATTTCTAAGAGTATTGTTAACATAGGCTTTGTTTAGTCGTCCATGCGTCAATGTGTTTGCTATACATACCTTGTTAGGTATCTCAGCATTGATGTGCTAGTTATTCTCTTTTGCGGTATTGGGGCTTATATCAGAAGTGGTAGAAGAGTTTTCTAGAAAACTAATGCTTTGTTTTGGAGTGGCTTTTAGAATGCATTTTGCCAACACTCAAGCATGGTTTTATGCAAAATGCCATTTGGCATTATATCCCAAACGGGTATGTAGTGGAAAAGCAATGTCATGGTAATCCATTACCTCTGTCAATCAATAGCTATCCCAATCGAACTATAGGAGATAAACAAGGTAATCATGGCGAGAGAGTCTTGGTCCATAAAATAGTGGACGTCCCCCTATAATGAACTCAGCAAGTAGGATTTGTATTCACCAAGCTCTTGTTAAGTCTATCCACTGCCAGGCTGAAGCTGAACACCTATCACATGACCGTTGCTTAGAGTGTGAGTACGTGCACCCTTTGCATAACATGCGATGTGTACGACTACATAGCAGTTTATTTCAGTAATATTTCTTTCTGGATGATCTCTACTGGTTTTCTGGTCCCTGGGATGACTTGTACGCCGCAGATGTGATGACTTGCACGCCGCAGATATAATGACTACTTATCAAAACATGTTTAACTATGTCAACAATGTTACACTCAACATGCTAAAGCACTATTTTAGTGTGCTTTGCTACTGCCCTCATGCTTTGATTGATGTGTCTTCCATACCTATGCCATATTTTTTTTAATTTTTTAGTTGTCCTGGGCTCCCTCTCATGTTGTTGAAGAAAAGAGCAAACGATTGCAAACCGGGGTTTAGAGAGAAGTTTCTTTCACTGCCCTCTCTACCCTTTCTGTCCCTTAGTCCCATTTCTGGGAACCCTTTTGCAATCATCTCTCCTCACTTATAAAATGAAAGAACAAAAAACACATAAGAATTCTCATGTCTCAAGAATGTTCAACATTCATTTGTGAAGTTGTCTGGTTTCATTATCCCCTGTAGGTTACAAACTTGATGAGCATGATCGAGACTCCCCAAACTTGAGGCTGCAATTTGCCCGTTATCCTGGGCCAAGGTCAGGAGGTGGGCCCCGTGGGAGACGTTGAGGCCTCCACCCATTTGCCTAGCTATCAGGTGAGTAGCATTACATGCATTGCTTTGTTTTTTCCGCTGCAAACTAGTGAAATGCCACCGTTTTGAAAATTAACTACCAAAATACTGCTAGCTTAAGAACTTCCAAAATATGTTACCAGGTTTAGTCATATTAGATGACTATCCCTATGTTTCTGAGAAGCATACTCTCTCTCTTTCTTTCTCTTCCCCCTTTCTTCCCCCCACAAATGACCACAAAAAACCGGGCCACAGGGACTGGTGCATTGTCCCCATGCATCTTTTTCTAATATCAGTGAGTTGCCAGTTGATGCTGATCACCTCTCCATCTCCCCCACCCTGCGCATCCATGCATATTGATTGCTGGCAATAACATGTCTATATCTTATGAATATTTTGTTAATATTTTCCCGAAAAGGGTGGCATTTCTGTAGTGTTTCACCTTACGTTTTCGAGCACGAGGCGCAGGATTCGTAACAGTTAATCGTTGGAGTTGCGGGCGAGATGGGATCGTGTTATGGTAGACGTTTGTTCGAGATATTTGCGATAGTGAGAGAGAGACGGGGTTTATTTAGATGTCGTATGTTATCTACTGGGTAGGAATCAGATTTGCAGTTTACGCTTTGGGAGCCCTCTTGGTGATGATTATCGAATTTGGTCGACTTGGCATTCGGTTTATCTTGTTAATCGCTTTATAGAAACTGTGCGACTACATCGGATCGTATCATAATTCATAGGGATTGATTGAAAGAAGTTCGTGGGTTTTACTTAGTTTTCCATCGTAGAGTTTTCCTCATATTTGATGGTAGTATTTTGCTAGGCTTTGTAAACATGACTTCAATTTCTGCAGGTTTTTAGCATCACCTTAGTGTCCCTTGTTGACATCAGATCATTGAGGTGATGCTCAAAAAAAATGTAGGAAACAGAATTATCATCTTCATTCCGGTTTTGCAATTTCCATTTTTTAAGCTGTTATGCGGTTTTTCTATATTTTTTTTTTGCTTTTTTCTTTCTATTTTTTTTAGTTGTGGGGAGGGGATATTTGTTTTCTCGGGTAACAATTTACCCGCTGCTATTATCATTTTCACTTAGATTAAATCGTTATATTTATTTATAGTTTAAACTTTTCTGCGACTTTTGGTTTCTCTTAATTAACCTAAATTATTTAGGTAAGCTGTGCACTTTGGTATCAGAATCATAAAGACTAGAAAAAAAACAGTAGGTCTGATTGCCAAATTGGTTAAATATTGATTTCTACTTATTTTTTAATATATCCCAGTTTTGTTTAAGATTAGACTAGCCAAGATATTGGTTTTTATGGTCTGATTTGTTGGACCGGACCATTGGTCCGGTCTTGATAATGCTTTTGCAAATTCGTATTAGATGAGGCCAACATGTATACGATCGATAAAGTCTCGTAATTGTCATTATTTGTAAATTTATGATGTATATACTATATTTTGACCCGCAACATTGAGAATCAGGATTCATGTGGCCGACTCAATTAATCGGGAAAAATGTTAAAATGATGAAGATGATGATCCTATATTTTGATCACTTTTATTAATTTATGACGTCTTTGTGGAAATTAATTTTTTTTCTTTTAAAAAAAGCATTAAGCGTATGGTGTAGATTAAAGAATAAGATAGTTCGTCTAGTTTAAAATTGTAGTTGGCCTACTGGTCTTTCTATAATTTTAACCTTATGTGCCTTGTGGTCTAGGTTTTAACGTCCAACTCTTTGATTGTTTTTTAAGTGAAATATATCATGCTTATAATGGTCAGAGTATGCTTTTTATATTTATATTTTCTAATTTTTATTGTGTAAATATTTTTATTGAACTGAGGTGTAGAAAATATTTATGTAAGAAATACAAATGAGTTCTTATTTGATTTGCATTTTTGAAGTTTGGAAAATGATTTCTTTGTGAATTTTTTAGCCTTATGTAATTTTTATCTTTGTTATGTCATGCGCTTGTGAGGTTTGGATTTAGCGTGTTTGGGAATGCGCCTGTTCTAGTGAGTCCACCCCCTCAGAATCCATCCTGGAGATGGGTTTCGAATCCAAAATTTTGTATGTGATCTGGAAAAGAGGAAAAGAAAAAAGGAACTTTTGCGCCTTAAAAGTGATTTATTGTGTACCTTTTTTTGGATTATTTATTTTTTAATTAATCAAATAAGAATACATTTTAAGTCTGGAGCTCCAAATTAATGAATGCGAGGTGAAAGTGGATTTACAGCTATTATTGGGGATTTGTTTCAGGGCTTAAATCCCTAGAAAACCAAGTTGGATATGGGTCGTGGCTCACTCACCGAATACTTTTTCTCTATCGTTCGAATAGTTAAGGTGGTGGGGTTCTACCCAATGTGTATTGATAGCGGTAGTACCAACGAATTCTATGATTCTCATCTCACCACAGGATAGAGGTTCAAATCTTTATTTACTTACCTTTTTTTTTTTTAAAGTTATTTCTTGCTGAAGAATCCTGTCTTTTTAAAAAGAAAATAATCTTTATTGGACAAAAAAAAGAAAAAAGAATCCCATCTTTTAAAATTTACACAAATTAGGAATCTTGCTTGGGTCAAGACGATAGAGATAGGGTTTTTATATCACATCTCAAGTTCCATTCCTATTTAACCATGTTAAAAATAAAATACACAAATTATGATTTGGGCTTTGGTTAATTAAGATTCTGATTGCAACCCTATATCCCAAGATCAAATGTTGGTACTAAATTAGCCGAAAAAGACAAGTTGATGTAGAAATGGTGAGGGCCAAATATCCCTGAATTTTTGGTGTCCTTTAGTGGTCAAACATATGTAAATAATACCAATAATTAAGAAAAGCGTTATGGTAGTATAAATTTGCTAATGATGTTAAATAATCTCCTATTAAAAATTATTCTGAAAAAAAAAGGAAAATGCAAAGGCATTTATAATGCACGAATGCAACAAGCTTCACCCGAAAGTGTAAGAGTTGGGGTTTCAAGAGCTGGTGTACGAAAGTTTATATTTTCCAACAAAGAAAGAATGCATGTTAAGCGAAAATAATTGGGGTATATTTGTTTACTGGATTTTAGTAGGACGAGAATTAAGAGTACGTGTAGGTTCCATTCTGTAATAGTGTGATAAAAAAGGAAAAAAACAGCAAGGAGAGAGAGAGAGAGAGAGAGAGAGAGAGAGAGAGG